AAAATGAAAGCTTTAGCGAGAAGCTATGTGTGGTGGCCAAACATCAATCAACAGCTGGAAATGGTAGCTAAGTCTTGCTCTGGTTGTCAACAGAATCAAAAGATGCCAAGCAAAGTACCGCTACACCCGTGGGAATGGGCGACCTTCCCATGGCAACGCATACACATTGATTTTGCTGGCCCATTCAAAGATTCTATGTTCTTCGTAGTTGTGGATGCTCACAGCAAATGGCCAGAAGTTATTCCAATGAAGTCAACTACATCATCAAAGACCATCGAAGTCCTGAGAAACCTGTTTGCTCGTTTTGGAATTCCAGAACAACTTGTAAGTGACAACGGTCCGCAGTTTGTGTCAGACGAATTCCAGACCTTCATGAAGTCCAATGGAATAAGACACATCACCTCGGCTCCGTACCATCCTGCTACGAATGGATTGGCTGAGAGGTCAGTTCAAACTTTCAAACAAGCTTTGAAATCTATGGAAGGAAGCTCTTCACCGCTGAAGGAGAAGTTAGCAAAGTTTCTCATCAATTATAGGAACACTCCCCATTTAACCACAGGAGAGAGTCCAGCGCAAATGATGCTCGGAAGACCGTTACGTACTCGTTTGGACCTAGTCAAACCTAACAGGAACCGGAAAATGTTGAACAAGCAACATGAGCAAAGCATGCAGTCAGCCCTTCATAATGCAACTCCAGCTAGACAAATTGCACTTGGAGATACTGTCATGGCTCGTGATTACAGAGGAGATTACAAGTGGCGTCAAGGCCAAGTTATTGAGAAGACAGGCCCTCTTATGTACAAAGTCCAAGTCTCTCCAAATCTGATTTGGCGCCGACACATTGACCAACTCCTTCCAACAATGGTTCAACAGAGAGTTCCACAAGACAGTGACATCAGCGAGCATTTCGACACAGCGAAAGCAGTTCCAGACCCTGGAGTCCCAGCTCCAATGGAAAACCTGCCGACTGAAGCAAACTCACAGGAGATGAGAGCGGAGCAATCCGCAAGCAGCAACACCCGTTGAACGACGTTATCCACAGAGGGAGCGCAAAGCACCACAAAAACTTGACTTATGAACTTATAGCTATGTTATTGTAACAGGACAGAAAACCTTGTTGTTATATTGTTATTTTTTATTCAACATGTTATGTCAATGTAGACTGAAAGACAATAGTGAGGAGGAATGTTACGGATTACCTGTGTAACATGCGCACGCATGTAAAGTGTAACACGTGCGAATAAAACCTAGTCAACGCCATCTTGTTTGTGTTAGTCATTCCAGTAAATACATGACACAGAGGATGTCGAAACGTCGCAAAAATGAATCTAGTTGCTTTTGTCTTTTTGATTAGTTTCATAAGTAATATACAATATTCGCGTGCGATCTGTATGAGATTTAAAACAGCTCGGTTTCAGCTCGCTGTTTTAAATCCTCATACAGATCGCCCGCTCGTATTGTATATATTACATGAAAAATAAGGCTGCTGTTACCTGAATTATGTTTATTTGCTGACAAATTTCAAAAAAGCCTGACTTACCTCTGCTACTTGTAACATGACAATTAGGATATTCAACATTTCCATTTGCCTGTATACAAATAAAACAACAGTTTAGATGCACAAATTATTACGTGATAATTACTATTTATAATTTCATATTTAAAGTGTGTCTTACTTGTTATTTTTGAGATATTCATTGAGAGGTCCTTCAGCAGCCAACTCCATGACAAGCATCATTGTAGGTGCTGTACACATGCCTATGTAAAGTTGTCACAGAAATTCATAAATTCTACTTTTTGAAGTGTTATTATAAGGCACCTTACATTCTCCTATCTCTTATCTCTCAAACAACCTTCTTCAGACTAGTTTTTCACTTGTTTTTTTTACTTCAGTTCATTCATTGTAAAAATTAATTATACTTTGTTTGACAAACTTTACCTATGATTCTCACAATGTATGGATGGTTCAGTTTCATCATGATATTTGCTTCAATCATCATTTCTAACTAAAATATCAATAAAAAAACAATGAGAAATGTATGAAAGATTAATGAATGAACAAAATAAATGGATGATTGAATGAAAAATAAGAGAATAATGACTAGAAACCTTTGGATTGTTTAGTTCTTCAGACTTCAATCTCTTCACTGCAACTGGTATCTTTTCACCATTTGGCATTTGATAGGTTCCCTTCAGAACTGAACCAAAATTACCATGACCTGAAGGACACAATAAAATCTATTGTCAGTTAGTTGTATTTCCTTTTAATGTATATAAATTATCCTTTACCATGGTTATTTCATCCGAGCCACTTATCATGCAGCTCATACTTAGTCTAAAGAGCTGCTACACAATTTATAGTCATCAGACACAGAAATTGATTTCCTTATAGCAGCTTGCATTCTATGGTCATTACTGTGCGTTCAAAACAATCTGGTAGTCAGAACGTGTTTGCTTAATACATTATAATATTGCAATGTGTCAATTTTTTACCAAGTTCTTGTCCAAGAGAAAGGCTGTCACTATTAAGATTAAATGATTGATTCTGGACAGACTTGAATTGGTTCATGTATCCTGAGCTTTTCTTGAGTTTTACAGAGTCAAAAAGAGTCTCAAAATTAGATGCTGAGCCAGCTCCTATAATATAAAGAGTAATTATTGACAAAGTTTATAAAGAGTACACTAAAAGTACAATGTGATTTGAACATGATTTATCAAATATGTACTGATTTAGGTCCACACTTGCCTGCAGGCTCATTTGGTAAAAGCTGAAGGTGATCTGAAGGTAGAGATGACACGTGATCGTTATGCGCATAAATTAAGTGACACTTTAGTCTAGTGGATCAGTCACACTCTCGTTGTATACAAGACAACCTCTACTTATATCGATATTAATTGTACCCAATACCCACCCGCCCTTAAGGCAGTGGAGTTTTATTGTCAGCTTATAACTTAGGTCTTTTCACATGCCTTGATAGCACAATAAAATTCCATTTATATTCCCAATCAGTCTCTTAATGTGTGTGTAAATATTACATCAATTCTGGGCTAACTGAGGGAGCCATAGGCACAGCTGTCAATCAAGACAATAAATGTAATTCACAAATAATAACAACAGCAATTAATAACTACAATGTAAAATAAGGCATTCTGATATAGTGCGATGATGCGATTTCGCATAATCACCTAAAAATCGCATTTTTCCGCATAATAGATAAAAATCGCATAATTAGTCATAAATTGCATAGTTTTAGAAACAAAAACATGTTTCCCATTAAAAATGAATTAAGTTCTGTCTATTTCATTTTAGAATTTATCGATATAAACCTTTTTTGAGTGGAAAATATTTGAAAAATACGCAGTCTAGGACTGCATGTGGCTAGTGCTAGCTAGTAAAATAGCAAATATCAGTTTTCTTCGCTTAAAAGAAATCTATATAAACCAAAAATATTAAGAAGTTAAAAATTGTAAAGTTTAAGCTTTAAAACTCAAAACTTTGAACATAAAGGAGTAAATTAGGTAAATCATTTAAAATTTCTGTCGAAAATTAGGTTTGAAAATTTCAATAGAATAATGGGATCCCTGTGACAAAGAATGAAGTCAAAAGAGCATGCGCAGAACGTTTCGATTGCGTAGMCATTGTTTGTTTGTAGCTCAAATTTTCTGATTTATTTCTCAAGATACATCAAAATAGAATGTAAAGGCTACAAAACATATATAAATATAAGTAAGGCCGGCACTAGTAGATGTCCAGTGTAATTTTTGGAATTAGTTAGGCTGGTCTGGTAAGATATTCGACTCGTCTCGATATACATACTTCATGGCCAAATCCTGGTTAAATCAAGACTGCTTGGCTAATTATGAGATGGCAACACCTAACATGAAAACCTGCATGGATGCTGAAACGAACTGAGAAATAACATGCACCTGAAGTCAACAAAACCAGCAAGAGAACGACTTATAGCCTTGGCCAGCAGTCGATGATCGTCGATCACGGTCAACGAAAAAAAAGAGCCGCCGTTGGATAAAGTATCATCTGCGTCAAACAATAACGAATTCGTTTTGCCATAAGTCGTTTCATCCAGTGAGTCTTTGAATTCTTATGTTTCTTTCGGGAGCATTCTCTACTTATAAACGGTGATGTGATTGAGATGTCTTTTAAATAATCTTTGTTGCAATAATTTTTCAGTTATCGTATAAATTTTTGGTTAGGTAGAACTCCACGTTGACGATTTTTCATAAATATCCTTGATAATTGCACTCGAAAATACTTTGAATTTTGTTTTATCAGCAATAATAATGATGGGAGTCAATAAAAGTAC